GATACTCATCTTCATCGCGCTAACAGAGCATTACACAAATTTCTTGGCGGAATTCTCTATTGATTTTTTCAATGTTAAATCCCAAAACCAAATTTCAGAATCCGTCACACTTTTTGCAAAGCGATTTAATTCAATATCCCAAATCTTTTATTTATACTTCGTTCGTACGCGGACAAACCAAATGTTCTTTGGTGCTAATTAAAACGCCAAGGTGAGCAAAGAAAATTGATATCGTAATGGTAGCTCGTGAGAAACTTGACGATTTTTAATGAACGTATGATAATATCAAACCGAAGAGAATATATTCAAATGATATTATCCAACTTGTGCTGATATCAATCAGATGATCATTCTTATTTGTTTTAGAATCTCTATACAAGATTTGAAGAGAAAAACAACATAATATCGTATATTTTGATAAGGTGAACGTTGACTTGATCATATCTTAGATAAAAAAAAATATGTTCATCATCCCCTAAATAACATGTGTTTCAAATGTACACATGTCTCAAATGAAAAAAATTGAAAATTAGATCAATGCATGTTGTCTTGACAACGAAATATGAATGTTTTCGACATAGATCACCAATTATTTATGATAAATAAAATGAACGTCAAGAACTAGAATACAGAAACTGATCGGTTCGGAAGAATAATGATCTTCAAGATAAGCGAAAGACATTCCGAGTGTTTTTGCATATAAAATCGATAAACGGTCAAACCGCAGCTAAACTAAGCTGTATAGAGCGATATTATCATTGATAATATTTACTATTTCCTATTTCAATAATTTTTAATGGGACGTTGAAAATGTTTTTGTCTATTTCGGTTCAGTTACTGCTTATTAGCAGCGAAAAAGATAAAATCAAAACTCACCAGATTCATTTCACTATAAATCAGTATGTGTACGAATTCTATTTGGTCGGAGCTTGTTTGTTATGGGAGCAGACTTTTAAAATAATAAAAAAAGTGAATTATAGTTCACCGCCAATCGATCATAATACATCGTAATGGCAACACGAATTTTCGCACATTTAAATACAGAAGAATTATGCTTAAATTTGTGTGGCCATTCTTCACTTTTACCTTCTTATGTTTCTTGGTGACAATTACAATAAACGCTTTTACAAAACCTTAGAAATCCACGGAAAATTCATTCAAATTCATTACTTAATTATTATAAAAACAAGATGCCTTACATTCGTAAGGTTAACTTTTCTATACTCCCAAATATATAATTTCCAATTAAATCCAATTTTCCATGCATTGAAATTGGGAAAGAATCATATTTTAATCAGACCTTAATATCAGAGCGATTTCAATACACTGTTTTTTATACATTGTTACATAGCAACATTTTTACCATGTTTCTTTGCGTACAGTGTACAGTGTACCACGCACCTATCCTACGATCCTAAAATACGGCTAGATTTTGCAATTTTCAGCGTTCAAAAATAAAAAAAAACTGATTTTTAGTGGGTCAAAAAATCTGGGGCGATCCCAATACTTTTCTTACACGACATGGTCGTGTTGAAAAGTAAAAATATCAACTTGTTCACAATAGAATAAATTACTGTGCAATGACCGCGTATCCAGATCTTATGGATTTTTTTTTAAATTGAATATTATTGAAATAGCAAAAAAGTTAAAAATAATTTTCTCTTCTTCGAAACGAAACAAAAAGCAAATACCAGACATCACATTCAGTGGATCGTAATTTGATATGTATCTATTTTCAAAGTTTACCTTATGTTGTCAAAATCTATTGAATTCAGATGAACATTATGATATTCAGATGGAATCACGTTGAATTTGAATTTTATTCGATTTTATTTCAATGTTCGCCTTTAATATTGAACATGTCAAAAGAAACTGATTACATCTGAAAATTTATAGAAACAAACAAGTAATATTAGCCAGGTTTTTTCTTCTTGAATAGCCAAGTTTTTTTTCTCTTCAAAACAAGAACTGAATGATACCTCTAAAGACATTTAGTTATTAAAATGCGAATCGTTCAAAAAGTTATGAGTCATCATAGAAAATATATGAATGAATAATTGAGAAAAAAAACCAAAAATGTTGCAATCGACGTTGAATCAGCGTTGAAATTCGTGCCAATCTCTGCGTCTCTATTATGCGTACAATGAGCTTACAATATCGATATGTCATATAAAGCAATGGCAAAGTATTGGTCATATTCATGTGATATTGAAATAATTACTATTGAGGCGCATGGTTAAGGCCACTTTCGTAAATCCAATAGTTTCCATTCAAAGGTTATCGATTTAACGCCATGCATTTTATAAAATCCTTTAAAAGTAAAATGAAGTTGAAAAGAAAATCATATTAGAAACACTCTGAAGAAGAACATCAAAATAGTAAGAATATAGATAAAAATTGCTAACGATTTCGGATTAGTAAACATTGCACAGTGATGAACCGCCGATACAATTCTACCGTATGAACGACTATGTACATTGTACACTGTACACGATTGTAATTAAAAGATAACTATTTTGATGGAAATATTGTAATATGTATGGTAGACACTATGTAGGTTATTGTAGTTGATGATATAACTATAGTTCGGGTGAATTGAGAAAAACATGTATATAAATATGGTGAAGGACGCAGAACTGTCCATTCAGTTGAACGGGTGTCATTCATCACACCATTTGTTGTTTGTTGTTTGTATTTGTTGGCATTCGTTCTTTCCATTTGAATTGACGCATAAAATATCATAAAACAATATCATGATACTCTAGACAATAAAGAGAATACATTGTAATTTAGTTCATTCGTTTACGTTTAATTTGATTCATTTGTTTGCCTATCGTTAGTGTCACTTAAATTATGACGTAGTATTTACACCTTGGGAAAAATTCCGGAGGACAATACTGTAAGACTCAACAAAACATTTTTATAACTATGTTTTTAACTACAATAATATTAAAAATTTAAGCATATTTTTTCTGTCAGATGATCTATTTTTTCACTATCCCGGCACTTGCCTATAAGATTTCACGTGAATTCAACAGAATTTTTTTTAGTATTAATTCGAAGTGATATTATTTCTGAAGAAATTTCAGAATAAATAAATTATTTTGTTGATCCACTTTCGAATTTCATGTCATGTTTTTCATTTTCAGGAAATATTAGTTATTTTTGATGTTTGGTATTAACTCAAGAGAAGGAAACAAATCATTTAGAAATTTGACAAAATTCATTGCTATCAAAAAGAATGTTATGTATTCATTCACTTATTTCTGCATTGGCAAAGAGATTTGGGCAATTTGTTTTTTGTTTTCTAATTCTAAGCTGTCATTTATTTTAATTTTCGAATATCCTGCTCCAAACTGTCTAACACTCTCATTTGTAGTATCAAGTCACATTGTGTTTCGTGTATCTAGACGTTGGCAACGGTCGGTTTGAACGACGTCAAAGGAAAATTGATTATAAATGGAGTGAAATTGTTATACGTAATATATTAAAGGGAGCGATGTTATCATTCGGACTTCGTGTGCTTGCCTACTTATTACTCGCCTTGTGTGCATATGGCTGCTTTCCATATATATATATATATCGTTGATTTTTATAACGAAGATTGCGTGCACAACGAGAGGTTTTTAGCTTTTCGTGTGATAACACACGCATGTATGCATCATGCGCCCGACTTTTCACGATAAAGCATTTACACACATTTCGTTCAGTCAACAGCAAATAGCGTAAAAAAGCACCCATAATAATAACGAAGGAGTCAACATTCAAACAGACATTGACATGCATGAAATACCATTTATTTGGTCAGAGAGCATAGAAATCAAATGTGTGAAGCTAGGGGGAACAACAATTCGTTAATTGAACGAAAAACGTGAAAAACTGGATGACTGACGGCTGATGGGGCGAATACGGAAAACCTGGACACGCTACAGAAATTCAGACTCCAGCTATACTATGTGAAAGTTTGGCTGGGTGATAAAATTGAACGAATGCAAAGTATATCGTGACTGTTATGGGCCAGCTCTGATTTCGTTGCATGCAATGAACGAGTTGTCGTTATACATTATATCATCAAACATTTCTAATAAATATCATACCTTATACGAGGACTATATTCCACATTCTTCTACAGATGTCGCTGCCGGTGTTATCGTGAGCCAAATTTGAGTACAATAAACATCTGAAATATCTAATAACTTTGTGTGCGTTAGTTGTACGTAGTATTATACGAAACGTAAGTGTATTTGTAATAGGATAGCTTAAACGCAGCAGCCTCTGTACTACCGTATAAGGTAACATAAGGCAATACCGGTCGAAAGTCACACGCACATATGCGGTCTGTTAAGAAACCCTCTATTCCAAGAAGAAGTCGATTGTTTGAAATCCACTCTATCTAGTAGATAGTATCCACTCTAAAGTCTGACTTCAGGATATCAGAATAACACATTATGGGGATGGGGAGTCGGAAATCAAAATTTAGGCGCTGGGGTAAAACCGGTATACCCAACCCATTCGCTGTGCATAAATCCGGCTTTATACAGAGTTTCATAAGTGTAACACTATAGTGTCATTTCACAATTTCTCCTTTTCTCCTCAAGGCCTCGGTCTAACTAAAAATTATCAAACTCGTTGGAAAACTGTTGTTGCGACTCATTTTGCATGCCTTGGGACAGAGTGAATCAATATTGAAGAGAATCAACAGAGATGTCAAATGGACAATTCGTTTGGAGATCAAAGTTTTCTGACAAGTCCGTTGTTTCTAAATTTTAGATCAAGATAGATAAATTTTGCAGAGAAACTGACTTTCGAGCAAAGGGAACATGTGTGGTCCATGAAAACTTGTCCAAAATCCATCGTTGTTGTATTCGTGACATATTGTATTTTAGAGCCTGTAATTCAACTTAAACACTAATTTGAAAATAAAAGAAATGCAATTTTTTTTTTCAAAAGATTTTATATTTTATCATTTTTTTCTGAGGTTATCATTCTTCGCTTTTCCATTTTTCTTTTTTATTTGTTCATTTAAATTAAATTTGCGTTTTTCACATTATTACATCCTTTCAAGTCTTAAAAGTATATAATTAAATACATGTTTCATTATTTGTTTGGTTGATCGATAAAATCAAATGATAAGGGTCACGTGGATCAGTGTTTCATAAATCATGCAAGCGATTGCAATCATCGTTTATTGTGTTTTTTTTTAAACAAATGATTTCAAAATAAGTTTGTATAAACGAGAATTTGTGTTCATAGCTGTTAAATGGGGATATCACTTCCATGCGACGGTCGTCATCAAACGATAATACTTAACTGCAAAAATTTATATCTACAGGTATTAAATAATCACAAAGTTTATAGTGAATTTTCATCGAAACGTCCACTTAATACCGCATACGGTTTGTGGACTCAAAATGTCTTTGAAAATCGTGTTGTTTGGAACACCGAAAATTTCGTTTGCACCAGTCCACTATTAATACTTACAAATAAGTTTGCAAATATATTACATCTCGATATCTAATGTGGATATTTTCCGTCAAATATTTTAATATCTACATCTCAAGTTTGTCAATGTGTGTGTGTATGTGTGTTTTTCAGTTTGTGTGAATTGTGTGCTGAAGTTCAGAAAAATGGTGTTCATCTTTTGTTTGCTTTTCTCGTACAATTCTTATTACTTCATTTGACTTTGTTTTATTTAATTCCGATGATATTTCATTTCTCGTCAAATACTTACTTTATACTTTATAAAGTGCATTATTGATTATTATATGAGGCTACCCACGGAAAAATGCATCTTGAATTGTTTGTTTTTTTCAGTATTCTTATTCAATGAATTTCATAATATAGCTATTATGGTATTGCATGATTGAACGGTAGTTTGGGCACTGAGATGAAACTCAATGAATGCAGTTTTTCATGTGTTGAAAGAAGCTTCGTGTTTGTGTGATGCACATGAGTGGCCATCAAAGTAGCAATCGGCGATCGTTTTAAAGTGAACGCATAATTTACCACTTTTACCGACTGCAAACGGAAAAATATTGAAATATAGCGTTAAATGTCGAAGAAAAATGCTGGACTTCAAATCACAAACCGGAAGATGGTGGCTCAATTTTGACGGTAGAGTCATCACACATCGAATGCAAAACAAACCATGCCTTATTTAGCGAATTAAGTGTTTTAATGACAAGCCAAACACGATAAAAATAAACAAAATTGAGTGATGAGTATAAAAATGAACAAATTTTGAATGAATTATATACAAAATGGTATAAAACATGTTGCTTTTTTTTTCTTTTTTTCTAAAACCGAGTTTTTAACAAACATTTTGCTTGAATTTTGTCATGAAATGCAGCAGAACAAAAACAAAGTCACACATTTTTCCTGCAACAAATACTGACTTATGTGGATTATATGCCTTTTACATATGTTTTGTTTCATCCCACACGCCAATAGAAGTCAGTGTTTTTTTTTGTTTGAACAAACAAATAGGCAAAACTTTAATTTATAAATAGTGTGGCAGTGAAAACCAATGCGGATAAATAAATCCATACACCAAGATGGATTCTGGAGAATATTTTAACATGATTAGCGATTAAGACAGATTTCATTTTCATAATTATTGTTGTGGCGACTGTAAATGAATATGTTGAGTATGTTGGTGCTTCGCGTGAGATGTAGAATATAATGATACCGTACACATAAATAATCGAAAAATATACATATGTATGGGTTTTCGTGCTTGTTTTTTTTTGTCTTCTTTCTTCGGCAACAAAAGAAATTGCGCTGTAGCATTGTAATCATTTAAAATATTGCATTTTTGTGTGAGCATAAATTAATTCCCACCATGAAGCAACTTCCATTGCATATTTTATTTTGTTCAATTCTTTGAATAAAATTTTTTGTTTCGGTTCAAAATTTATAGTACACATGTTTATATTCATATGGATTCTCATTCTATTAATATCAGATTAAAATCAAAATAATTGTAAAAGTTTTATTTGTTTGCTTTTGTTTTTTTTTTTTCATTCGTGAGTGTGTGTACTTTGATTAGATTGAAGAGGAAAGAAATAAAATATACACATACTATGTAATTAATAATTCATTTTACTGGGATATTTATCTGCATCCATTCACAAAAGCGCTATATTTGATATTCAGTCTTGTACTGAATTTAAATTTTATCATGTACAAAATTCTCATTTCAAGGGCCAAATCTATGTATGATAATGTTTGGTTCACTGTTTAGTGGCTGTTCATTCGAATAGTTGTTCATTTGTTTCATATCATTTTCTTTTTATTTTACATAATATCACAGATTTAATCTTTTTTCTTTTAATATTTCATCCTCTCCCTTTTTTTGTTCATCATCTCTTCCTTGCGATTTTAAATATTTTCCTCTTAATTGTAAGCCTTAACATTTTATATGCATACCTAGTTAGTTGCCGTTAATTTTGAAGCATCTTTACGTGTATTGTTTTCTAAAGTAATAATTTTTGTTTCACTTGATATTGCTGTGCGCCACTTAATGACAATGTTGATGTACTCTTTGTGATTCTTTTTTGTTTCTCTTTCTTTTATGATATACATTGCTATATTGTGCAAATATTCATTTTCGGGTTTCTTTTGTTTTCAATTTGCCTACCAATAGCCATATGACTTCAAGTGATATAATATTTTGTTTGAGCTTGTAATGGCACCGGTTGAATCATTCATTGTTATGACGATTCCAAATGATGACTATTTTTTAAATTTTTTTTTATTTTAAACGCATTCAAAGTGTGAATATAGTCGACTTTTTTTTGATTTCAAAGTAAGAATTACCTAAATCCAGTGGACATCACTTTTGAAATACTTGCTCTTGAAACATAGTATGAAAAGGCTGTTTGAGAAGAGAAAAAAAAACCATACAAATATTGTTCAAAATCTAATATGAACCATTTCATGTTAGAATGATGATTTGGTTGTCGTTGTGAAATTAATGTAAAAAAATACATATTTCTTAATAGCCCTTTCATTCGCATGTATTACATCAAACAATGCAAGAAAAATAACTGTGTGTGTATGTTTTTTTCTCCATAATATTTCAAATGTATGTATGAACGTGTGCTATTTGCCTTTTGTGTTGTTTATTTGCTTCATTTAGCAACATTTGCTTGATCATTTTTTAAGCATTTCACTCTTCAATAAACTTCATACTTATTGCTTTGAACTTATGTGTACGCTTGAATTCAAGAAACGAATAAAAAGAGAATGAATCATCAATAGTGTGGAATAAATGCCGCAGCACCTTTAATCAAGGTTCTACCTCCGCTTGTTGATATTTTTTGTCTTCCATACACTGGAAACATTCCTTCTACGATTGGTATTTTTATAATTTTGCAATATTTGATGAAGACATCAAACGCACAACTACAATCATATGTTTTTTTTCCTTTTGATAAGCGCGCACGCATATTTTTCAAGACTCAATACTTGAATGTCTCAAAATGAATGCAGCAATAATCATTAGTTTTTTTCCTCCTTACTTTTCTGTCGTCCATTTTTTGTTTAATTTATGGATTTTATTTTCATAAAGTTTTTTTTTTCATTCACTCAACATACTAGCACCCATTTTTGAAGACGATGAGCAGTGATTTGTCCATTCTTTTTCACATACGAACACTCGCGTAAATGTGTGAATGAATTTAATTTTTTTTTTCTCTGTTCATACCACTTATTTGTGTTTCATCTTATTTAATGCTAAATTTCGTCTTCATTAAAATGTTGTGTTTTATGTATTATATGAAATTTTTCTCCATTATTCTTTCGTTGAGTTTCCACATCTTCTTTTAATTGCTACTTCTCTGTGAGAGCCTCTGAGATTATGTGTGTGTGTATGTTTTTTTTAGTCAGTCACTTGCTTATAACTATGCTATTATCGTTTATGAGTTATCGCTTAATCATATTCATTTGACTTTTCTCCTTAAAATGCTTAAGCGTACTCAATCTTATCTCTTCTTTCCTTTCTTTTTCATACACTGTTTCACCGTATTTACTTTTCGTGCACGTTCATGTCATTTGGAATGAAATTCTCTTCGTTTTATTCTTAGAATTGTTGAATATATGTTTCGCTTTCCAAACTTATTCATTCTTGTGTATTTTGTGTTTCGTTTTTTTTTTTCATTTCTATCTGTCTCGCTAGCGAGCTGACTAAAACTAAACCATGTACGGTTGTGCACTATTTTTATTTCCAGTTAAGCGCCATTGTTGAGCTCCTATGACGGGTCGGTGAACGGAATTTGTATTTAATGTGGTTTGAGTGTTAACAAATTCGTTGCCAGCATTTGATTCTGGAGCTAGAGTTGAATTATAATCAGATTCAATGCTAAAATATATGTGCTCTGATGGAGGACGCTGCTGTTGATTTTGACTATGTAACGGTTGATGATGCAATTGATCGTCACCTGAATTTGACAATGATATCAATTAACATCTAAACACAAGTGCATCGCGACTTATTTAACTAAAATTGTGTATATATGTAATGAAAAAGGTCAGTTTTTTTTTTTCAATGGAAATTGTTCAGTCAATCGGAATGTAACTTTTGGAATGTCTTTTAGAACATTTCATCTGAACATTTTCCCAATGAGGCTTCGTTTAATTTAATTTACTGGGATGGTAATGGGAAAAATGGAGATGGACTTACCAGAATCAATACAGGTGGCCCGTCGTCCAAGCGGACTCGGTGTTGCCGTTGTCGCTGATGAATAATTTGCTTCGTCATTTTCCTGTTGATAATACGATGGTGGCTGTTGCTGCAGCGGCACTCCGTGCAGGGGATGATGTAAGTGCATCGTTGACTGTGTCTGATGTGGATTTGATGATTGCTGCTGCAGACAAATGTTATCCGAGTTTGATGCTTTCGGTATACGATCAAGTGGATTATGTAGCGTTTGATGATGGTGCAGTGTATAATTGTTGCATCGTTGTTGGATTTCAGCCGGTAATGCGTACCGCAATTTTTCCCAGAAATGCTTATCAGACAATTTTATGCCATTGACAACACGTGACTTCAAATACGGCAGTAGTTCTAAATCACTTTCGGCCTCTAGCAATGCATCGTGCTCTTCTAATAAAACTAATTTTTGGGGCCGTTCTTTTAGCGCTTCATGGACAGCATTTCTTACTTCATATCGACTCCATTCGGTCTGCAGGAAATTACGCGACAATAATATAACGACACGTTTTGATGCACGTGCTGATTCGAGTATTTGCAAATAGGTTGCGTCGTGCGTTAAATCCCGATGTTGCAGACACAAACGTAATTGTGGCGGTCGTATCTCCAATTCGGCAGCTATTTCTCTTGTCACCAACTCATAGTCCTTTTCCGAGTACAAAAATACCGCATCGTACAGCTTTTCATAATCTTCGCCGATGGTTTCACAAATTCGAACGCCGCATTTTGCGAATAACCAAATGCGTAATTGCTCTCGAAATACAATAGCCAATACAAGAATGGTGACAATGATGATTAGGGCGAGGGCCGTCAGAAGTAGTGGAATATGTTCATTAATGCTGATGTCAGGCAACAAAACTGATCGACCCTCATAAAAGCTGCTGCAATCGCTAGATGAATTAAAATCTAGCTCACGCTTTATCGCTCCGTCCATACAGTAAATGTCTTGAGAATCGTCCAAAATAACGGCGTTGTCACTGACAAAAGAGGTGAGTTCCCGTAAAAATAAGCAACGACAACTCCAGGCATTTCGGCCGATTGACAATGATTTCAGGTTTGAAAAGTGGTGTGGCGGTGCGAGCGTTTGAAACATCGTCATTGTTACAAGACGATTACCATCGATACGTAACAACTGTAGCGATTTAAGTGGTGCAAACGTGTCATTTGCCACATAGTCGAGCTGATTGTTCTGTAAGTACAGCTCCTTCAATTGGCTCAAATTATCGAATTCGTGGCCATGCAACGTACGTAATTGATTTTGCTCCAAGTGTATAATTTCGAGTGAATGCAAACCAGCCAATGCACGTTTTTGCAATCGATGCAGCGCACTATTATTCAAATACAATTGCTGCAGATTTTTTCGGCCGATAAATGCATTGTTCTGCAGCTCGTTAATTACGTTGCCATCCAAATAGAGTATTGTTGTATCCATAGGCACTTTTTTCGGCAGTACATTCGCTGGTTGGCCTCCTCCGCCGCAGTCTACTACATTCGCGGTCCAAGTTTGATCGTGATGGCACGTACAGTTTGTTGGACAGATCATTTCACAGTCGCATGCATCGAAATCACAGCAATGACACAGGGCAAAGCACATTGTTTCGTACTTACAAAGGAAATCTTTGGCATCCAATGTGGCAACGGATCGAACCGCGGCACCGCGCTCGTGGGGCATAATGCACTCGACATTCGCCAAATCCATGATTCGGGGATGTTGGCGCGCTGTCAAATTGTTCACAGATTGAAGCCAATCCATCGAACAATCGCATTCGAATGGATTACCGCCCAAATAAAACTCTGGCAGGGGCTTTGTCGACGGTATCGGTGCCAAACGCAGCGTATGCAGATGCATTTTGGTCAATGCATTCGAATACAAATCAACGCGAGTTAAATTCACTTTATCGATGAATGTGTTCGGATATACGTTGCGAATGAGATTGTTATTGATGAATAACAGTTCGATGCTGTTGGGCACGGCCATGGGTCCCACATCGCTCAGACGATTGTGGCTGGCATCAAGTGTTTTCAAGCTGATTTCCTCCTGCAATTTGTAATAGTTTCCTAGCTCCTCTATGTAATTGGCGTGCAGATCCAACCACTTTAAACTTCGTGGAATGAACGCATAATCAAACCAGACTAGATGGTTTTCAGCTAAATTAAGCCAGAGCAACGAGTTGAGCGTGGCAAACACGCCATTGATATCATTTATGAAATTGCGATCCAGACGAAGCGCTTCAATTTCGTTATTTGATTCGAATGACCCGCGCTCAATTAGCAGGATACGATTTTTCGCCAAGTTCAATACGCTCAAGCGTGGCAAATCGGTGAACATCTCCTTGGTGATATTTCCAATGTGGTTGTCAATGAGACGCAGCCCAGTTAGCTGATTGAGGTTGCGGAATGCACCGCTATTAATTTCAGTGATTTGATTTTCGCCCAGATCCAATGTCCGCAGCATGGTTAAATTTTGAATGGCGCTCGGTATTTCTTGCAGTTGATTTGTGCTCAAGTCCAATTCTTTCAGATCCGAGCAATTTTTAAATGCACTCGATTCGATACTACTAATCAAATTATTATTTAACGTTAGTTTGGACAGCACGAAAAGTCCATTGAATAGTTCGTCGTTTATAGTGTGCAGCCGATTTTCCGCCAAATTGAGCGTATGCAAATTATATAACGGCAGGAATGTGTTGTCCTCGATGTGGCCAATTGAATTGTTTCGCAGATCTAGTATTTGCAAAAAATATAAGTCACGAAATGTTTTCGCATCGATGCGTGTGAGCGCATTGTGTGCCAAATTCAATACTATTAACCGTATCAGGCCAGAAAATGTGCCATTGTCAATGTGATGACTGGATAATTGATTGCCGCTCAAATCCAATATCAACAATTGCTCGAGCTTATGAAACAGGCCGCGTGGTATTTCGAACAGTTGGTTGTGCTGTAAATGAATCTCTTGGAAATCACGAGCACCAGCAAACAAACCATTTGGCAGTACGTGTAGCTGATTATAGCTAATATTGAATATGCGTAGCGAAGGTAGTCCGGCCAATGCTTCGCCCGAGATTTCGGTAATGTTGTTGTGTTCCAGGTTCAATTGCTGCAAACGACGTAGTTTTGCAACTGACCAATTTTCGGGTAGCGATGTTAACTCATTTCGGCTCAAGTCGAGTACACGTAAATCGCCCTCGCCACCGGCCACACATGATTTCTGCGAAAATCCCAAATTATCTGTCGATCGAATGCGATTCCGTGTTACATTCAATACTTGCAGTGTTGGCAATTCACAAAATGCACCCTCAGGTATTGTCCGCAAATTGCTATCGATCAAATTCAATACTTCTAGTTCTTTCAGTGCATGTAACGACGTTACATTCAGTTCAAGACTCTTGCTTGGGCCCCATTCAGCATTCCGTGTTCGTATCGTTATTCGTTTCAATCCTTTCAATCCCGTTAGCGTGTCAGTGGGCAAATAATGTAATTTACACGAATCGATAACCAGCTCATTCAAATTGCGTAGCTGAGCGAATGCATTTTTTGGTAATTCGCTCTCATGCAAAAGATGTTCGCTGCACTGAATGGTCAATTTATCAGAGTCTTGCGCTGGCTGCAAGTCCAAGTTTGTTGACTGATCAAGCGCCTTCAGATGACAAGTAATGCTGTTCGTTTTACTACTGTAATCCCATGTACATTGACCGGCTACGGTGCTTCCTATTGCCAATGTCATCCATAGAACGTTTAATGCAATGACGATATTTATATAAATCAATTGTGATGCGGACGAATAAAACGAACAAAAGATTAAATTTTTCTGCATGATGGCAACATTTGATACTTTCGCAAGCGATGAGATGCGATTTTGACTGAATAATAATGATAATAATGCCGATGCAAAATGCAAATTTAAAACGTTCTGCTACCAGGCTCCTTCCGTATGACTTCACGTTTATTTACAGGCAAACAAACTCACTCACTTTTCAAGTGAAGTTGAATTGAACGGTGAAGTTGAGAAAAAGAAAACGAAACGAAACAGAAGAAAATAAGAAAATCCAGGAACGATCCGTTGAGATGTACGACGAACTCGATATGCACGCAAACGAATTTAAAAAAAAAACTGCAGGAAAAACTATACGTCAATATAATAAAATGAGCGCAGCAACGACGAAAAAATTAATATCGAAGCAGGAATAGAGAAAGCGAATAATGAACACTTATTTGCTTGCTTTGCTCTTTTCTGTTGTTGTTGCTGTTGTTGGTTGGATTGCGATGTACTGCTTCTGCTCCATTCAACTGGACTTTGATAATGCCTTAATTGATTTTGTGTATGCTCTTTTAAACTTCGCTCTGATGCTGTACTCTCATATCATTTGATATTTTCTTCTTTATTCGTTTTATTGTGGTTCCAACTCCGTTGATCGGTTTCACAATACGTCGCAGCAGTTGAACGCTTACATATAAATGTAATAATTTAATGCAATGCCGAGTTGGAGTCATTGACTGTTATTGCAGTTCTTGTTTGCCACTTTTTATGCACATTTATGAAATTGTCTATAGCAACAGTTCGTCTGTATTATTCTTGCATGTAACCATCAACGCGCACACAAGAAAGTTATTCGCGTTTCTTTCGCTCTCGGTACGCGATCAACGAACACAGACGCTCACATACACACACATAGAGAGAGAGAGGGAGAGACACACATGCAAGCATATAAAATAAAGACACTCTCTGCTTGTTGTGATACTATTTTTCATTTAATTTAATTACACCGACGTCGAAGATGCGTTTTCTTCAAATTCCTGAGTTAAAAAAAACAAAATGGACAACAGAACCAACTGCTGCAAATCCGCTTCATCATTTTATCACTCCAAGATATAATTCCGTGTTCACAATGACTTGTGTTTCATGCACCGCAGTTGTTGCAACTATAGCAATTTCTTTGTATGACAGTTTTTAATCGTTGAATCAGTTTTTTTTCTTTTCAATTTGATGGTTCACTGTTAAGCATTTTAGGTTGGCGTAAAGTTTTCGATGATTTTTGGTTGTAATTAAACTTGCTAATTGCTTTAACTGGCGAATAGAAATCGAGAGAATATAATTGCACACAGAGATGAATTTCAATTCAATTTCATAATTGTGTTACACAATGTTCCGCCTTTTTTCCTATTTTAAACACATAAATAACTGTTCTTTTGTTCACACATTGCTTGTTTTGTTCATTTTGTATTCACAATCCAGAGTTTTATCGGATGTCAAAACTAATATTTCATGAAAAAATGAAGTCTACGTCGAAGACAAGGCAGTTTTTATGTCCATAGTACTGGTGAAATCATTCAAAATCGGTCACTGCTCAATTTTTGTTAGTAATTTAATTTTTATATAAGAGTCTCTGTCCATAACGCCCAAAGCCCAAATCTCTTCAGTATATGATTTTATCGCGAATGAGACTCGCTATTGAATTGGGATTTTTTGTTTGTTCGTTTCGTATCTTGAAATGAAAATACTTCACTTTCACAATTATGGACTACAATAAAATGTATTTGATTTTTGTTCGGCGTGCAAATTGCTTCAACTTTTAGCACATTAACACTATTCGTTTGTTTGGTTTTCTTTTCACGGTTCCATGGAACGCCATTCATTGAACTAAATGGATGAACGAAAATATATAACGCGGAGCCAGTGCCGTCGGTGTGGTCGATGTTTTATTTTCGCTTCGATTTTTCTGCACCTTGCTTTGTAAACGATAATAATAGCGTTACCGTAATGATGTGGTTTGTGAATATTTGTCACGATTCACATACACATGCATATACACATAAAATTAGAAAAACAAACTTTTTTTTTTTAAATTAACGAAGTGTTCCTAATTTGGGTAATATTTTAAAATTGTGCTAGAATTCTTGTAAATATTTTTTTCTGTCTATTCGTGAACTGAAACGGGGATTTCTGGTAGGTTTTGTGAGCTAATACCACAACATAATTGGGAAATGTGACGGTTAAAATCGATTGTGTTTTCTTTTCTCATTGTTGAATCTATTTTAATTTGTTTTTATCCAAACCCAACATTTCAAAATATGTCATATGCAGAATATTTTATTTCGGAAGCACAGATACACTAAATAAGTTTGTTATTTTTCTGTTTTTTAACTGTATTTTGTCAGTATTTTTCATAAAAAGCCATTTGGATGTTATGTTAAATACATTTCTAGCGACGGTAAATCAACTTTTAAACTCAAAGTTCGATGAATATGATTTCTAGTGAAATTGTAAACTAAATTAATCGGAAACAAAAAAACACTAATTTTGTGTAGTTTAGTTGTTTTCCTTGTTTGAGATTTTCGTTTTTATTTTTCAATCTTTCGTGTGCGTCAGCTAAATAATTTGTATTTAATTTGGTTTTTCTTCGGATTGTGAACCAAATGGACGAACGAATAAATGAAACAAGATTTAGTAGCGCGTTACCCGAGAGCGACAATACACGCACAACACGAACAACTAATACTTTGTGTTTTGTCGCTAAACACAAAAAAAATTGTGTTTCACACGTCTTGCTTTGTCAACGGTCGGACTCAAACTGAATGCAGTCGCAATCGACACGAACACTCTACGGCGGTCGCATTCAATTATTGCTTTTTTTTCTTTCTTTAACGTCAGTTCCATGAACCCCATTCTGTGTTCGAGACACATAGCTATATACTCTCACGTATAACGTGTTGTGCTCTCGCAATGGTATGTGCAGTTTAAATGAAAAGTATAATACAAAACAACGAAATAGAGAGAACCGAAATTCTCCGAAAGCGTGACGGCAACCGATGGCTTTCGTTCTTTTGCTCGGTATTCCCCTTCACTTGCGCAGCCGCTCGTTTCTTTTACTTATGTTCCGTTCATTCTTTTTTCCGCTGAGCTATTCGTAGCTTCAATTCATTCACTTCTTCGGAGACCCTTGTGTCAACCGCACGCATATGCGGACAATGTAAACGAATTGTGAAATAGATTACTCGTTGAATATTTCCCCTGTGAGAGAAACTGCGCTCGGTGATTATGAAACGAAGCACATATTTGTTGGTTTTACTCCATTATATTGCTCCCCACCATTTGCAATTGGTACCGTGTCGCGTTTTACTCTCTTTCCGAGAGATCCATCGCATCGATTTTAACTCAGTGTTTTAGACTTTTTAATCAACAAAATATGCTTTATGCTCTTTTGCTTTGTCATGATTTGCTCATACGTACCCAACGTACCCATTCAATCATCATTATCGCTGAAATTTACTTTCGTTTTATTCAGTTTTATTTTTCAATTCGAATATACAATTTAGGCACAGGCACACGGTGGAACTCATTTCTCATTGCTTCTTTGGTGCAAAAGGTGCGGCGGAATACATACATATGGCCATGATTATTATGCTCACACAATTTTTATTTATATGAAGTAAATATGGAATATCTTCTCGATTGGATAGACCGTAATTCTTCTTATATTCAGTTCGAATTAAATGCCAAGTTCAACAGTTACTGCTGCTGCTGCTGCTGCTGCACATCGAGTTGGAAATTATTTTGTTCATTTTTTAAACGTCAAATACTTTAGGGCTGAGTTAATATTTAGTTTCAATTTTCAAAGTATTTGAACCCTTGTGCAATTTTTTTAACCATAGTAACTAGATTTTGAGACATGTTGAATATATTTTGTACGCATTATAATGGGAATTTCAATCACTAGGTAGTCATAGTCATAATCAATAGATTTGACTGACTTAACCGTCCAATTTGATTAAATTTGTCCAACGTTAATTGAAATCGATTGGAATTCTAATCATAGTACATACAAAAAATTTTCGGATGGACGGACGGACAAGTGGTTTTGTCCGAACTTTCCGAGAGTTTTCCAACCAAAAAATGCACAAATGTCGCCCAAGAAGAATACGCTGCGTATTCTTATCCAATTTTCTTTAGATTTTTTTAATTAAAAAAATTTCGGACGTCCGAGAAATTTCAAAAAGTTGGGGACAGAACCCCAACGTCCGTCCGTCCGAAAAAAAAATTCGGACATTCGGACCGGAAGTCCGAAATTTTTCAAAATTTTTTCGGACGGACGGATGGACAAAATTTTGTCCGTCGACACCTCTAGTTTGGACTTATATGAACCAAAGTAACATGATATAGATGGCGTTTTATATGATTGATTCCACACATTGTGCCTTCGGGCATTCATGGCGAATTCAAATATTAAAATAATGTCATCTGAATTCTGAACCCTTGTGTAGTGCTCTTGTGGAATGTGGAAATAAATTTTTGAAAAATGTTCCCAAATTTTTCCGTGTTTATCTTTATTTTCAACTTAACTTGAAATAATTACACAATAATATTGGGTGTACAAATGAGTCTTTGCCGTTTGTCAAAAGATGGCACCAGCAGTAAATGCTGGGCAAAAGTCACATGTCAGAAACGTCATATCGGAAGCTAGACATTTGTCAACAACTCCTCATCATTACATGACAGATATGGTGCATTGTGCGGAGGTAAAATCATATCGAAATGTTAGATTTGATCGTGCCCAACAATAACTAATCGTTATATACCAATTTTGGAGAGCAAAATCGAAAAATTTGCATTATGCCCCAGAAATTGGTTTTCCGAGGCAACATTTTTGAGCGACTTTTCACCGAAAATGTCAAAAATTTCTAAGAAGCAGTTGAATTCGAATACCCGCCATGCTCCCGCTGTATTCTTCAGACATTGCGCCTTCTGACTACCACTTGTTTCAGACGATTCAAAATCACCTAAGTGGAGAACGGTTCGATTTTTTTCAAAAACTCGAAAAATGGGTCGATTCATAAATTGCCCCGAAAAATGGGGGGAATTTCGACTTTGTTTTTCGTATACTGCCAGAAAGATGGGACAAAGTAGTGGCTAGCGGTTCAGTTAGTGTTCATCGTAATCTGTTCTTAAAAATCAATGGGACCATTTTTCATTAGATTTTATGTTGGGATATTTCAATCATCATGCAGACATTTGAGTGTTCATTTGGCGATGAATTTGCAGAAACTATTGGTTGCCATGCAATTGAATTGAGGAATGCAGTAACGTACCGCATCCTTGAATAGTTTTGTCATTTTTCATGAATTTCATAAAATTATTCTAGGTGTCTCAGAATCTAGAACATTTCAACCTTGCACAGAAAACATAATTTCCCCTAGTTTCCCAAGCGCAACTCCACACTTTCTAAATGTGACACCGTAGTAAGTGTGGGCATACGTTTTGCGAATAAGCGACAAAGAGAATGGAAACAAGTGCGCGTGTGGTAGTGAGTAGCCTGATGCGATGCTTCCCAATGTAGCGACTAATACACGCGCACTTGTTTCCATTCTCTTTGTCGCTTATTCGCAAAACGTATGCCCACACTTACTACGGTGTCACATTTAGAAGCTAAGTGTGGAGTCGCACTTGGGTTATCACAGTTCTCGCGGGCAAATTTATTATTATTTGTTATTTGATGTTGAAACACCTTTCAGAATGCTTGAAGTCTTACAAAGGTGAAAAATTGTTTCTCAAATGGAATTTGCTCTGCTGCAGCACTCGATTAGCAAAACAGCAGCAGCAGCTATCTTTCTTTACCGAATTAACAAGTAATTATATTCGCCCACGAATGTACAATCTGCATTGTAGATTATACGGAAACTCATTTCCCAACATTGTAACGTAAATCGTGGCCACAAGGACCTACAAATGTTTGGATAGAAAACAGAAAAATAAGTCTCTGAGAAAAGTATACGAATTCGTAGCATTCTGTTCTCTGTACAATGAGGAGACGACAAAAAAAAACATTGAATCAAACCCCATTTATATTCTGACTTAACGTAACATGAACACATTTCCCCGAAAAATCCTAACCGCAGTTATGGCTAAACCATAAAACAGAACAGCGCACTAATAAAAAAAACGATGACAACAATTTCAGCAGCTACAGCAAAATCTAACAAATTTCTTTATTTTGCTCAGACTCTTGAGCACATTCAAGCATTTGATACACACAAAGGTCCAGAAAGGTGTCTTAGAAATAGTTACATGCACGAAAATTAAATAAAGTACAACGATTTCGTAATAAAAAAGCGAAGCCCAGCCAAGGCAAAAGTAGCCAAATAAAACAAGCAACTGTAGAAAACAAGAACAGCAACAACAGAAAGTATATAATTCAGCCGAAATAAAAGTTTTTACTCCGAAATATTTACTGGTTTTGCGTGACGGCTCCGAAATATTTACATCATAGGCACCTTCACCTCTTCAAGTTAATCTCGTCGCATTTTTTTAGCGCGCATTTCATTTCAAACGCATGTTCATTCCAATGGAAGTGGAAATGAGCACTGGCGTTTACGAAATTGTCGCCAAATCGTGTTGAAAATTATGGACAATTTTTTTTCGATGTATTAAGGTTGATGGATATCAAATGTTCAGTGCTTTATGCTACCAAATGGAAGAATTTCCCAATTATATTCGACATCAACTATTTTTTGTCACAAATGACATTTTTTTACTAACAAGTATTTGACACTTTGCAGTCAGGCGCTTGGTTTATTTTTCGGGAAAATGTGGCCATTCATCCAACATATAACATTATTTAATATTTGTTGAGTCCGAATATTACAGCAAATACTTATACAAATACAAAACACGAAACCCGTAATTAGAAATTAAACACTCGTAACCGTACCATTACATTGTCATTTTCCAGCAAAAAAATCGTCGTTTCCGTAACCGGAGAACACTTTCTGTATGTCGTTTCAAAGGCAACGCAGTGTAATGTTAACTGCATAAATGAAGATGTCAAATGTTCTTGTTCGAATGACATATGAGCATCTCCGTTTCCTCGACTAAAATATGTAGGGCGATAGCTTCACATATTAAGCTCAATATTTTTAAATGTTCTGACAGCGGATGAAAAACGAAACAACTTCAAAGCGAAACATATGCTAGCACCATAATTAATTCACATTCATAGCATAATATAGCCAGACACAGTAGCATAGAGTAGTACAGAAATGAGCCCAACGGAAAATTGCAAACAGCAATTTGCTGGAAAATTAAATGTTCAGTTTGTTATTTCAAACCGTTTTGGCCAACTTTTGTAAAAAAAAAATTCATTCGCCCGGCACCAGAACAAATCCATCCAAACTACCGTAGACAGATTCAAAATTCGACAACTGTTACGTAAATATTTCACGACAACGAATCGGAATAGTTAAAAAATAGCTGCAATTAAACCGAAATGATGACTGGGTAGGGAAAAAGTTCAAGACTATTTGGGAAACAATTGTGCATTCACCGCAACCAATTAATAAAACCGTTTTTTAACAGGGTCTAAAAAACCAATATACAAACTTGGAAACATCTCCGCTGCCAAAATACGAGCACAAATGTGTCTGCTCGGTACTTTTCTAGCATCCACACCAACAAATGAGCGTGGATCTAATACCGCACACGCATTCTGCCAACGAGCAATTTTATAAATACTCGTATACAGTGTACACATTTGTTCGTACAGTGCATCAAAATAATTTATAACAGTCAAAGTACGGAGCG